ATACCAGATTTGGGTGATGTAAATAATTGGAAACTTATTTGTCAGTTAATAGCTCATTTAACGCAGAACTTCGGTTTTGATGACTTAAATCCCTAACAAAAATCCCTTCATATAATATATATATATATATATATTAACACTTTACAACCTGGATAAAATTTAAAAAAAGGTTTGATAGCAACAAAAAAATAACAGTTTGCACACAATAATTAGCTCAAGATCGTTCTGTTCTATCAACAATAAGTGATGTTGAAAGTGCAATCTAACACTTGTTTAAAGTTCATACGTATGAAAGCAGAAAATAAGATATAAATAGAAAGTTGAAAGTTTGAAATAAAGCTTAGAAGTGGTCCTTAGTCATGAAGTCAATTATATCTCCAGTAAAGTTAAGAAAGTATACATTGTCACGGCGAGGATCAGACGGACATACTTAAGCATTGTAACACATACTCTCTCTCTCTCTCTCTCTCTCTCTCTCTCTCTCTCTCTCTCTCTCCCATCCCTCTACTTTACATTCATTCTATCTTATTTCGTATACTGTGTTGGAGTTGAGTTTGCTATAATTATATGGTGGAGAGGTATATTAAATAAGATATCCATTTGCAAGGAAGCGAAACATTTCGTTTAATGCAATAAGGCACTTTCTCATCCTGCCGATAATTTTCTTGAAGTATACCAGGTTTTGCTGATGTCATCCCCAAAACATGGCGATCTTTCCATTACCCCATCTTCTTGTCTTAGTTTGAGAATACCTTAATTTAATATCTCGAAAGAGAACAAAGCAAAAATATGCCCCCCCCCCCAAAAAAAAAAAAAAAAAAAAAAAAAAAAAATGTGCAGAGCATAGGATGTTTACGCGTTGTAGAAGAGGCAAAGCACAGTAAAATTCATAAGTTCACTTTTCAATCTATACATTTGACTAGAATAAAATTGTTTAGAATGTACTGTTTATTGTACTCTTTTTCCCAGTTAGAGTTTTTAAAACTATTCGATTAATTTAGCTTAGAGTCTCACAAATGTTATTGTCTGATATCCATTTTAGCCAATATCACTAGATATAAAATACCTTTAATTTGGTATTCACCATTATAATTTTGATTTGGTATTTTAAAAAGTGTGTATCTTTTGAAACACATGTTACCTGCGTTATAACAACGAACCAAATCATTTTGTACTTTCATATTTACAAGATATTTGTAGATGTTTTCTTTCCGAGCCGTATTATAATAAACTTTAAAAAATGTATTTGGTGTCTATCAATTATCTGTTTCTAAATGAGAATGTATTAAATAGTATTTTCTGATATCGTGACAAGACAGCTACATTGATTGGCTGTGCAGACGGATTAACGTAAAACGTGGTTTAATGACAGGCAAGGTTAATCTTAAATATTTAAAGATAATCACTTCTCATTACAACCCGAGAGTTCGCAAAACGCGTATGCACTTTTCGGAATCTCAGTTGGAAAGACATATTACCGAATCTGGGAGTGGTGAAAGAACGTGAGAAATTAATGTTGGCATTTTAATGAAAGCAGGGGCCTATTATGTTTATACGAGGTCACTCAAGTTTCCCTAAGGAAAGACAATCTAAATTGACTTCGGAATATTAGTTTTGTGAAAACAAAGTTATCGAATTTGTTTTGATGTTCTATGTATGTATATGTTAATGAATCTCATCTGGGTTATGTGTATTGAGGTCAATACCATGACACGACAGAAATACGAATAAGGGACACGTTTGAAGTAAGCGCGCGAAAGTTTGCACATATTACAATGGCGTATCACAAGGACAGTATAGAGAACCCCCCCCCCCCCCCGCTTGACTCTAAACTCTTACTAGGTGAGTGACGTGAGAGAGAGAGAGGGAGGGAGAGAGAGAGAGAGAGAGAGAGAGAGAGAGAGAGAGAGAGAGAGAGAGAGAGAGAAAGAAGAAGAAGAAGAAGAAGAAGAAGAAGGTAGTCTAGGGGGCGTAACATCTTTGTCCATGCATGTTAACTCCTCATTCTGTTCTCCCTTTTTTGTTTGATTATTTTTGTTTTTCATTAGCCCACCATTTGAACGGGGAACCTCCTCCTGCCTCCCCGTAATTACTGCCTGGCCAGAGAAGGTGAACTAAGGACATTCGAAGGAGTATTACAATAAAAATAGACAAAATCAATGTATATCTCTGACCGGCCCCTCCCCTCCCTCCATCTCTCTCTCTCTCTCTCTCTCTCTCTCTCTCTCTCTCTCTCTCTCTCTCTCCATCTCTCTCTCTCTCTCTCTCTCTCTCCCTTCCTCTTCTCTTTACCTTCCAATATCTTCCCCTTCTTCTCCTGATGCTGCAAAATTAATTTTAGAACAAAATGAAAACATATTATGACGACGACGATAGATCAGCACGAACTTAATATGAAAAGGAAACTTCAAGGATTGTTATACGTTTAAGATTCCAGTGTATATTGCTTGCTTGTTTGCTTGTTTGTTCTTTAGCTCTGTCATTTCCATGAAAGCAACCAGTTAATATTTTTAGGCATGTGTGGGCCTAGGACATTATGGATGAAAGTATTAACCCAAGAATAATCACATGTAATGGGTATGAGGGCATGTGCTTGCCAGAGCTAGGGTGAACTTCTTTTCCCCCTTCCATCTGCCACTCTGCTAACCATCAACTCAATCATACATACACCATAATAATTTTGAGTGACCGGAGATTGAAAACTTGGACATGGCTTCCTTGCATTGCATGCGATTGAGCTCTAGCAGCTCATCCGATCCAACGATGACACACAGGCCAGCCGATTTCCTCGTCTTATTTTCTTGTCTACAATTGTTGTGATAGATCTAGACTTCTTGTGGCGAGAGAATGAATAAGATGTTGCCTCGGGCTACATACTTGACCGTCGTGATAGGCGTATTAAGGGGGCCGCTGGGCGTGTTTTGAAAGTTGTCGGGATGAGCATATTATTTCAAACTACCTTCAAGGATTATGAAACATGTTTCAATTAAAATATAAAAAGATGAAGCCCACCCCCCTCTCCTAGATCCGCTTCCCCTGGAACAAGAGAACCTGTCTTCACGGTTTTACTGTAAAGATGATTACTGTAGTGTTTTGAGTCTTGAGTAAAGTATATCAATCTCTTCACATTTTCTGTCTTTATATATTTCAATTCATTACAACTCAATTTTTGACAGCAACCTATTTTATACCATGAAGCAGAATAGATCGTGAGATTTTTAGTTAGACCTACTCAGTTTTGTATTATCACGATAGGAGGCGAATAGCCTTGAATAAAAGGATGATTACATTATTGCAGTACTGCAACATCACATGATATGAGAATGTTCGATTCTGGACAATTATGCTGTCGTAATTGCACCTTTGCATCAAACGTTACCAGGATTACTTGCAAACATTGAAATAGGACCGCGAATTTTGTTTTCCTGTTTGCTTGTTTGAGGGCACCGTGACCACGACCTCCCGATATTCCGCGTCGTTTTTAGTTTGCTAGATATTCTTGGAAAACTTTTGGCCAATGGCAATGAATGAAAAGAACTTGAGAAGCGGAATATTTACGTCAAGGATACGATTAATTAGGTAAGTCACTCAGCCTTAACAATATAATGATGGGTAATTTCATATATTTTCTCTTTTTATGTATCATCAAGGCTTATAAAGGATGACATTTTCCTACTAATAAATGTGTCCAAAAAAGTTTTATTAGACTAGCCCCACCTGTTGACATCCATGTTTCTACTTACTGCTGAAGTCAAGAGCGGATGGTCAATATTTTGAAAACTACATGTGGTATTGCGAATAGACAGAAGAACCTGCGATTACTTTATCATAATACATCACAGCCCCGAGAAATTTTAAGTTAACTAACAGTTAATAGGAAAAGGACGTTATTAACACATTTTAATTGCATTTTGGTAGAGGATTCTAGATCATCTAGGTCTAGATCTAGATCTAGGCCTAGATTAGACCGAATTTTCCGTCTCTTTCGTTCGTTAGCCTCTTATTGGGGTAGGGTCGGCTCTCTCTTTAGAGACGGAAACCGTCTATACACATTCCCTTGATAACGCCACGGCCATTTCAGGTTGTAGCGTTTTGCCCCCAAAATCCCCCAAAATGTCATTTTACCTCGTGCATTGATTATTTAAAATTAGGAGAAGGTTATACTACATCGGTTCCACTTACCAACCTGACTGAAATAATCCGTTTAATGGTCCCTTTTAAGGAAATTATGGGTCAAAATCGACATCCATGTTGAAATCTTGCAAGCCGTGTGAAACTCTCGCTGCGCACGGAGTCATCTAAATCAATCTCATCCCTTTTAGTCTACGCCGAAGGCAAAACGATTATGAAGGAAAAACTGTGATAACGCCATTACGAACGTGTAGATGGCGCACAGTTTTTCCTTTATAATCGTTTTGCCTTCGGCGTAGACTAGAAGGGATGAGATTGATTTAGATGACTCCGTGCGCAGCGAGAGTTTAACACGGCTTGCAAGATTTCAACATGGATGTCGATTTTGACCCATAATTTCCTTAAAAGGGACCATTAAACGGATTATTTCAGTCAAGTTGGTAAGTGGAACCGATGTAGTATAACCTTCTCCTAATTTTAAATAATCAATGCATGAGGTAAAATGACATTTTGGGGGATTTTGGGGGCAGAACGCTACGACCTGAAATGGCCGTGGCGTTATCAAGGGAATGTGTATAGACGGTTTCCGTCTCTAAAGAGAGAGCCGGCCGACCCTACCCCAATAAGAGGCTAACGAACGAAAGAGACGGAAAATTCGGTCTAGGCCTAGATCTACTAGGTCTATCTAGACCTAGTCTAGTACTAGACTCTAGATCTACTACTGACTAACTATATGAAGTAGGGGTCTAGACTATAGAGTAGACTAGAATAATGGTAAGCAATCTTATTATTATTATTACAAAAACAGAATAAAAACAAATGATTGTGATTGGGATTTATATATTTTTTTTTTAAAGGAAGAAATAGTGATGGAGGCTACACACTCAGCCCCAGGGGAACCTAGCTCCCTTGCAGCCCAAGAAACACATGACATTCAGCTAGACCCATCCTTTGTGGACAGGCTGAAGGTAGCCGCTGCTACTGCCATCATCAAGCAGAAACCTGCCACCATGTCTGGAAAAGATTATGCCAAACAGCTGGCTGAGAGACTAAAAAAGAAAGAAGATTCATGGAAAGCAAAGGCTAATAATCTGGAGATGGAGTTACTAAAGACTAAACAGGAACTCTTGCTGGCGAAAACAAAAACTTCTCTTCCTCACAGCATAAATGGTAAGTTCATCATGCATATTTAAAAAAAATGCATTCCTACTTAAAAAATTCTTTTCTGTGTCCTACTGTGAATTTTATTAATGGCTATGCTGTGCATCAATTTTTTTTCCACAGCAAATCTGTAATTTAGACAAATTTTTAATGAAGCAATACATGTACCCAGGACAAAATGGCAAACTTGGCAACCCAGTCAGATTACAGACTGACAAAAGCAAGGCACATTAGCATTTTATCATAAATAATTATGATTGCAAACACTTTGGAAAAATCAACTTTAGTTCCTTTTGTACAGTCTATAGAAATCCCATTCAGATTGCATACTTCAACACTAATGTTTGCACATTTCTATTTGAAATTTCCTTATGTTGATTTTTTTTTTTTTTTTTTTTTTGGGCGAAGATCTTTGCATCATGTTTTTTTAATTGAATGCAAAACTTTATGCATTGAAAATCGAAAATTATGACACAGTCTGTTTTTCTTTCATGAGCAATTGTTTGATAGTTATCTTTGTTTAATAATGTCTTATTTCTGTAGAGAGAGAAGCAGCAAACACTTCCCACAGTCACAGTGAAACAAACACTGATGAGCCAGCATTCCTCACTCCCCCTTCATCATCAGAAGAATACCATCACATTGATCACCAGATGGCGCTCTCTAGAAACACAAAATTCCTTCACAGTCTCTCGACCCTCTCTACACTAAGCAGGACAGATGATGACGTAAAGGTCATGGAAAGGTCATCAGAGATCATAGTCAACAGCGTGAAATTTGCAGTAGAATACATTACAGGAAAATCAAAAGGTATGGTTTTTTAAAGGCAGCATATTCTTTCTAATGTGAAATTCTATATGAATAAACAAAATTAAAACACAAATTGGTGAAAGAAAACATCTTAATTACATTTTAGATTTAAAGCAAACTATTTTTATTGATGGTGAGACATACAACAATGATTTTATGTTTATATTTAATTGAGAATGAAAAATTATTCACATTAATTAAACAACACAATAAGGATATATTGTTCTGCAAAACTATATTTCAGGCAGACTCGTGACTTATTTAGTGTTGTAAATTATTTCCTATTTCAAAAGCAATAATTCTGATTACTGATAACTTTTCTTCAATGGTTTCGTATGTCAAGCCAAAGAGGTACAGTGATAACTAATATATTGACAGCTGTATCTGTAACTCATGAATACATCATCAGAAAGTTAAGTCCTTATATAATTATGTAAATACAGACTTCTATTCTTATTTTACCATGTTTTTTTCCCTTCTCATTTCTTTCATAGGAAAGGCCCCATGTCATCATCTGTCATCTCGGATGCTGCAGAAGGCAGCTGATGCTATCGTGAAGACCTTGGATACCAGACTACCTTCAGGATGCAGGGATGATGTAGTCTCTCTGGTAGGCGAGCTGGTAAAGAGTGTTTTAGATGCGGTGATAGAAAATTCCAAGATATGCAATGTGAGTAGATTCAATTCACATATGTTCATTTAGTTATTTTTTATTCAGTTATGAAGGGTTACACAGAAAAGCAGTTTATATAACAAAAATATATCAAATATATGAAACGTAAAAACTTACTGCGTACATAACTGGAGGTCCAAGAAAAATCAGAAGCTGATCCCTTGTGAGCACTTACAATTAATACAAACATAATGAGGAGGTTCCTGGTCGATGTAGAACAGCAAGGAGCAGGGGAGAAGGATGGACAGAGACTGCCATTTCTACCTATTCCCTAGTATTGCCTTGGCCTTTTATGTTTAGATTTCTCTTGTGTCATTGGTGAATTGAGAAGGGGGGGGGGGGCACAAAGGGCATGAGCCCCCTTTTCCCTTTTCAGATGTGTATTGTATTGTATTTATTAGACTTCATTGATGTAGATCAATATTCTGTTACAATGTAATGTAACGAATCAATATTCTGTTTGGAAACATATATATCATATAATTCAATTCTCTATTTTTTACGACAAGGAATGACAAATTTGTTTTCTGTTTGCATTTTAGACATACTCTCAGAGAGAATCCTGTTGCATCCTCCTTCGTCTCTCAAAATCATCTCATCTCCTTCCTACCATCCTCACCGCCATTCTGGAGAAACTTGAGATGGTATCCACCTCCCTACGCAATATCCGTCTCCATGGCAACCACCTAGATGTTCAGCTTCTTGAAAACTCTTTCTTCCTCTTCTCTACAATGGAAGATATTCTTGTTTCTGTACAGACATCATCATCAGATGCATCATCTTCTAAGGGAAGCTGTATGGAAGGTCAAGGAACTTTGTTTAGCAAAAAGGAGACATCATCTCAAAACAGAACTACCTCTGGTGAACATTCAAGACACGTACCATCTCCAAATTGTGATGATGATGATAACACTGAAGGTCAGGATGCGAGAGGGAAATCAGTGAGAGGTAAGACTGGTAACCAAACACGGAAACTAAGCTTGGAACAGGGGTTTAGGACGAATGTACAGCAGAGACTAGAGGACAGTCTTCTTCATATCTCCCATGACTTTCCTCTCTATGCTCAGTATGTATGGAGGCTGACTGGAATCTTGGAATTGATGAATGAGTAAGGAATTTACTCTCTATGTGTACTTCTTATTCATTATGGAATAATTTTATTTTGTTTGTCCTGTTGAAGGCAGAGATAATGTTTGACAATAACTTGCCCATTAATGAAGTGTTCTTTTTCAGTTAACTACACTTGAAACTGCTAATATGTTATCGGTGCACTTACAAAATGTAATTACTTATAGGTAATGCAAAGTTTGGGGAATTTTTGAAAATTTGATGAATAGTATTTCTTTAAAATGTTGGTATATATTTGGATGTCCCGGTGGATGTATTGTAAGCATTAGAAATTCTAGCCCCTAAAACACTTCTGCTTTCCAGAAATTGAACAATCAAGATTTCAAAAAGTGCCTAAGGCCGTTCCATAGTAGCTGCGACCATCAAAATATCAGAGTATGCAGTTCTGGTACATAATTTTTAAACGGGACTAATAGCAAATCGGTCGGTTGTAGTCAAGAAACAACATTGTTTTAAAGATAAAGTAATATCAGTCTTGAGAGGGAGCTATACAACATAAAAAGTTTATCATTTACAATTTCATCACTTTAGACTCGATTGTGACAACGATCATTGAATATCGTAAAATCGCATATGCTTCCAATATGTTCATTTGAAACAAATTCATGACCCTATACTAAAACTTTGTATTACCTTTAAGAAAGAGCTTCATTATTAAAGAAAACGATAGGGTAAAATGTACAAATATTGAGAAAGAAACAGACTTTTAGACATGACATTTTTATTTTTTACATTTATGATAGCGGCAATCTCATGACCACAAGCACGGCATGATTTCAACGTTCGGATGTAAACTGTTTCAATAAATGCAAAACTAATGAGTGAATAGCGCCATCATGTGGTGAAATCTCTGGTGTGAAGTTTGGTGTACAATACAATAGTTGCAAGGCGTCATAAAAGATCATCTAATGTCCTACGTGTACTTCTGAAGAGGATTTAGAGCAATGTCATCTCTGTGCAACACTATCATGGATTAGAATAACAGCTTCTTTTATCTTTAAAATTCATGTCACTGTAAACTAATTAAAATAACCTCTCACCAATATATCTCTAAAACACCAATCATCCAAAAACCACTGCCAAACTCACCTAAATCCTGTCCCTAAATCTCCAACGTAAAAGTAGCAGATCATGTCCAGTGCAGGTTTGTCTGTCTTTTATTGTAGGCTGCTATGCAGCAACCTACTGAACATTCTTAAGCAAAGTATATTCACATGAAATACATCATAAACCAATAGCAAAATAGGATTTGGGAGTAAGACTGAATATTCAAAAGGGAAAGGAGAAGAGAACCAATGATAAGTAAGAAGTGGAAATACCTAAAGCATTCACACAAGATTCATGAATAAAAAATAAGAAGAGAACAAAGGAACATACCAGGTGAGATGGAAGACTTGGTATGTAGAGGAGATGAATGGAGGAAGGAATTGGGTCAAGTAATTGAGTAAATGCATAAGCAAATGTGTGAAATGAATATGTATAGTGAAAAGAGACTAAAGAATCAAATAGTAATTGTATCAAATACAAAATAATATGGAATGAGTCTAATTTTAACTCTAAATTTTTACAATAAATGCAAAACTAATGAGTGAATAGCGCCATCATGTGGTGAAATCACTGGTATGAATTTTGGTGTACGATGCAATAGTTGCAAGGCGTCATAAAATATCATCTAATGTTCTACATGTACTTCTGAAGAGGATTTAGAGCAATATCATCTCTTTGCAACACTATCATGGATTGGAATTACAGCTTCCTTTATCTTTGAAATGCATGGCACTACATTTATAACAATTTATTAGCTTTTTCTTCGAAGGAAATGTTGAAACGAATTAAATTTGAAATGAAATATGATTATGTTTCATGATTTAGTCAATGGGAGAACTTGGGAGAACAATGGGAGAATTCCTTGTAACTACATGTATATACTTTTTGTATTGTTTTTTGTTTGGGGTGGAGGTTTCACTATCAAATCATTTTATTACATAATTTTACATACCATTTTAATTGTATCTTTATCATCACCACCGCCATCATAACCATCATCATCATCGTATAAGGACAATTGCCCCCTGGACAATCACCCCTTGGGAAATTACCCCCTGAAAACTACCCACAAGAGCAATTGCCCCTCCCCCGGGAAAATTACCCCCAACGACAATTGCCAAAAGATACCATGTGCGAGTCCCCCAACCCGACCCCATACACACACACACGCACACACAAGGGTTATTGTACTAGAGGGTAATTTTCCTTAGGGGGGGGGGGTATTTTCCGGGAGGTAAATTTTCTTGGGGTATTTGTCCTTTGGGTTTAATTGATCTACAACTATCATCATTATCATTACTTCTGTCATCCGCATTTTTGAACATCATCACCATCACCTCATCACCATCATCATCATCATCATCATTGTAATAAAAATAATCATCATCTTCTTCATCATCATCATCATCATCATCATCATTATCATCATCATCATCATCATCATCATCATCATCATCATCGTAATAATAATAATCATCATCTTCTTCATCATCATCATAATCATCATCAGCATTATCAACAAACTTCATAATCATTATCATCTCAAACATCATAATCATTTCCAACTAAATCTTGTTGATGATGGTTATTTTCAAGAGTATTCATTAATTCGGAATCTTATGTTATAACCTGTTTTGCTAAGAATGACAGATACTTTTCTTTTTAAATGAAAAGTATTTTAAGTCAAGATTTGTTTAAATTGTTTTTTTTCTTCTTCAGAGTCCATTTAATTTTGTTCTCAAAAGTGTTCATACTCAGACTGTAGGCTACTCCAAATCTGATCATCGAAACGTCAGGATTTTTTAATTTTAATTTTTGACGTTAGAAAGATTTGTTGAGTAGTAATGAGGTTTACAGTAGGTATCATTAACCTTAACGAATGCAAAATGGAAATTTCTAAGAATTTAATTGTAAAATGAAAGGACAACATATATAAATCCTAATCTTGTGATTAAATCTTTAATAACCAATGTCTGAACAACAATACAATTTCATTTGTCACAAACTGGCGTGAAATATTTCCAGATTCTGTCAACAGAAGAAAAAATGATACATTTTTATTCACAAACGATCATCACACTCGCTTCAATTCTACCTTTATGGGATGGCAAGTCCGGTCAAAATTCTCATGAAAATGAAGAAGAAAAAACGCGCTGAAATAGAGCGATTATCGTCACAGTTATTCATTACTCATGTCATTGTTGTTGTTTACAGAAATAATTATGGTACACAAGCATGTTTCTATAATTCAAAGGTTGTATATTAAGGTAAATATTACTGATGTATTTTCTTAAAATAATCATAGAGAGTCACATCAAACCATTGGACGAAATAGTTATTTGAATACGTTATAAGTAAAGAAACAAAAATTGAACTAGCAAACATGAATATATATTTGCTTGGTACATTCAAATATTAGAGAGAGAGAGAGAGAGAGAGAGAGTGAAGGTGAAAGTGAGCTAGACAGAGAGAGGGAGGGGAGATATATAGAAAAACGGATAGGCGAAGGAGAAAGAGAGAGAGAGAGAGAGAGAGAGAGAGAGAGAGGGGAGGGAGAGAGAGAGAGAGAGCAAGAGAGAGAAAAGGGGGGGGGGGTGCACTGGTAATGATTGGTGCGGAAGTGGTCGTACATTTTTAGTTCAAATCGAAACGTAACATGTTTTAAAACGATATAGGAACGGCTCACCCGATATTAGACATTATCTTTACTTTTTTATGCGTTTTATCAGTCGACTATGATAATAATCAGATTGCAAATGCATCCATGTTCATTACATCAATGATAGAGCCTAACAAAAATCAACTAACCGTAAATTACAGTTATGAAGAGGTAAATAACAATCACGGCTAATTACAGTGTACAAGAATTTAGTTCAGTTCTATTAAAATATCAAATCACTCTTAGGGGGTAAGTTATATGTATCGAGTTTGCTAATATCTCAAATTCGCAATCGAAAATATTAAATAACAAATCGGTCAGCAAACACCGTCGATTACAATGGAGTGGATGTACGCCCCCTCCCCCTCTTCAAAAGCTCCCCCTATTATTAATATTTGGATACACCTCTGCAAACGAACCTGCCCATCAAGTGAATTTTGGAGGAACATCTTTACCTTGTACATTTGAGGTCAACTATATCTAAAAAAGTAATGATTTTTTCATATTAAGCGATAGTCAAACATGTTGCGTCTCCTGCACTTAATCTAGGTTTTGAAAGCAGCTCTCCTATTGAAATCATAATCAAAACTTGATCAATGTCAAGCTAACATGTAAATATCACAATTAACTTAGTGTCTCGTTGCAAATAAGAGAGAAAAGGAGAGAGATTTGAAAATATTACTTGATATTATGTTGGGTATATCAAAATAAAGATCGGGGATAGAACAACAGGAACAGAATGATCATAGAAATATATCAACTTTATACCATAAATTAGTCACATTTACATTGTCCATGTAAAAAAGAGCACCGATGTCACTTCGTTCAATTCCATTCAGGAACAATCAATTTTAATGGTGTTATCATGCAGACATTTTAAAGACACATCTCTTTATTTCATGCAATAATTAAAGTAAATATTAAACGAGTATTTTCATCAAATATACTGGCTTTCTTTCTAACATACATCTACAAGTTTAAAACTGTACACAGGATTGCAACTGGTTTCCACCTTAGAATATTAACATTTTAAAAACAAGCTACGCACAAAAAGAAAAACTTGACTGAAATTAAAAATTCGCAAAACAGTCTTACACAATACACAATAATTATTTCAGTTCGGATGTGAATGTTTTTCTTGCATTTTTTATCTGACAAAAGACGCAAAATTCAATAAAAATTCCTTTAAACAATTATTTATCTTACACTTTGCTATCTGTATTAATAGCCCATCACTACATCGGCAATATCAGTATAATTTTTGCATCTGTAAACCCTGTTAAGATAATTTTAGCGTTCCCGTGAATTGTAACATGAGAATACCTCTTGCCCATGACAAGAAGACGCCGATAATATACTATACACGAAAAGTGTATATCAAATTCTTCTACGACATCAATGTATTGCTCATTGATCCCGAAACAGAATATTAATGATCTTCACATGCACAAACATTAAAATGAAAATACATTTCAAAAAGGATCATCGAAAAAGATAATAATGTTAATGGACTTCTTTTGGGGCAGGCCAGAAGATCCCGAACGTAACCTGGCACGATTACCCTTTATAATATTTTTTTTAACGAATAATCACCAAGCGTCGTTTTAACCTCGGATCATTTTAGAGCATTAAGTGCAACGATGAAAACTCAATCGTTAGCTCAATCGGTAAGGACAGCGTAGTACAACGTTGGAGTTGTGGGTTAGAATCACAGCATTTATTCAGTTCTATTTTTTGCCTTCATAAAGAGTGAGGCAAAGCAATAAATAATTAAAGTCTGATTGTTTGTGACCTCTTTCCAAGCTGCTAATGAAACAAAAATGACTCCGGCTATATAATATGTAGGCCCTGATAACATTGATGGCAGTGCGAATGATTTAACCGAAATGTTTGGTTTAGGGAGTGTAGAGGGGTGTTTCTAACTAGTTGAAGATAACTGAACAGTCTTGAAAACCCCGGGAAAACGACAATACAGATATCATGAAACCCATTGTTACAACATTCATAACAACTGACAAAAGTAAGAACATGTCATAAATATATTGAATGCCCAATATTCAGGATAAAAATTCAACCTTTGTTCAGAATTTAAAGTGAAAACTATCCTCTCAGTAGGCATACGCATTGTGCAGATCCTTGAGATGTGTGCCATTTGCATACCAACCTAAGCCTGTCCGATCACACATAGTGCTAGAGTTGTGAAAGTAAGGGTATTCCTTAGGATCCCGACACTGGTCCGCTATTGCAGCCTCGGACGTCCCATAAGCAGCGTAAGTCGACGTCCGCGCTAGAGCCGTGTTCCCTGAATAGCACATGGACGAGTCCTTAGTGGCTGAATAATAGTCAGTGAGACGGGAGGTACCATTTATGGACGGGGGTGAAGTGTGCCCATTACGGAGGGATGATGCCCGGCGACTCGGACTGGTACTTCTAGCGCTATAGTCGGTTGATGTATGACGGCTGAGGTCCGATGTCCGCGTCGAGTATGAAATGTCGTGAAGGTCTCTCGAATCGCGGTTATCGGTTGCACTAGAAGAGTTTTTTCTGACCGAGGAATGTTCAGACGAGCTTGCGCTTCTTCTCGTCTCGGACTGACCCATGTGATTGGTGTTTGTTACCTCATTTTGAGATGTGTTTACACCATTCAACCTGCTGCTGTTCAGTTTATGACGTTCTTCCTTTACGAGTCTCTCTGTTGCGTGTACCAGGCTCTCAAACTTCCTGCTGCTATTGGCGACTGTATCACTCTCCCTTCTTTGCCGCGATTTGTCGTGGCTGTATGCCCTTGGAGAAACTGTCGTAACTCCTGAAGGGCTACCCGTTTGTGCTGGTGACGTCACAGTGTGAGAATGTTCGGAGGAAACGCCATGATTCGGTGACGTCATTGAGGTGCAGGATTGAGAAAGCGTTTCTAAATGTCGGACATCGCTGGTATCATTGCAACATGTAGAGGTACTCGGAGCACTTCTCGGGTTCTCTGTCCCTGAATACGAGTGCGCACTTTTGCGGGTGTCCGCGTAAGACGATGCGTCGGTTGCCCCGTATCCATGCGCAGCCGACCACGTGAAATAACTCCTCGCGTCCGTCGACCCGTAATACCGATCATCACTATAATGTCCACGATACGACGAGATCCTGTCATTCACGCAGTGCGCGTACGCCTCGGCAGTCGGGTACGCGTACGAATTCGCGTACGGTGCGTACGTTCCATCAGTGTACACGTTGTGCTGGTAGCCTGCTGCGTAACTCGCTGAATACATCGCGTTGTATCGGTCCAACCCTTCCTGATACGCTGCCGTCAGCTGCGGAGTAGGGACGGGAACCTCACAAGCTGTTGCATACTGGCCGTAAGTCCTGGCCTGAGTGTACTCACTCGCCGCTGCTGCTGCCGTCATAGCATCCTGATAGAGCAAGCTCTGGGTAGGTGTCTGGACTTGGTACGGCTGGTACTTGGATGATTTGCTCTTCTTCTTGCTTTTGCTGGGCCTGGTCTTTTCCTCGACGGCTGAGAAATTCGACTCTGTTTTGGCTTGGAGCTGATCGAATTGAAGAATGAGCTCTTTTTCTTCCATTTTGCTGAAACAGAGAAAATAAAAGCCCAAATTTCATTAATTCTGCTGGAACATATTTGTAAGGATTTATTTAGTGCTTGAGAACAAAATGAATGAATGAAAACAGACAAACAAACAAAACAAACAATCGTACTCAATCTTACCTTAGTACAGTATTGACGCTGACGATACAATGTGGTCTAGAGGAGCGGCTATTGTGAACGATGGTGGCCGCACTCTGCATCCAGACCCATCCACCGTGCTTGGATAAGAATCGGAAGTACCGGGTAGTCGCCTGCCCTTTTAACAGTACTGTGAAGATAAATACATGCACAAAAAGATTAAAGATAATAGTATGATGAAATCTATTCATTCTTCTTTAGCCATCGGGGGCAATTTGTGGAAAGCGTGGTAGAGTGTTCAATAAGTAGACCTTTTAAGTTAAGGAGTAAGAGTTTGAACCATTGTCCGTTGTTAGGTCGTTAGGCAAGGTAGGTTTGTTTCTCTGCACCCAGGTGTACTACAAGGGTTACCGTTAGTTTAAAATCGAAAACTTCTGAAAGCTATACTTGACGATGTCCTTGCTGAATTTTTGTGGGATTTATACAGTATGGTCGAATGAAGGAGTTGACGAAAGGGCGAATAACTCCGAGAGACAAATATTTCTTGAGAAGATGAACAGTTTCAAACCTGTCTGTGGTCAGCTCACCATAAATGAATGGTTGTACTATAATGATCGTTCTTTTGTAATGGAATATTATAGGTCTTATTATACTCGTGATGAACGTGAGGACTTACATGTATGGTGAGCATATCGTATATGCATGATGTCCATTGGATGTACAAAATGATAGATTGTCTTTTCAATCAGGTCCTGTGGTTCGTACCCTGTCAGAACTGCAACTCTGTGACAAATGATAACACAAAACAATCTTTAAAAAATATACACAAAACTGCATAAAAATAGTGACTTGGATATCGGTGTAGTATGATGATGCAGAAAAAGATGTGTATGTATATATATATATATATGTGTGTGTATAACCCTACATAGTACATTAAGTGGACATCATAAAAATCCTAACCCTAACCCTAACACTAACCCTAATGTCTACTTAATGACTCATTTTTTTCACTCCCAATGTCCTTCCAATGACGCCTTTAGTAAAATTACATATATAGAGAGAGATATATAACAAAATTGGGCCTTCCACACCAAATTGTCCTCCTAATCACTATGTCTACTTAATGACTCATTTTTCACTCCAAATGTCCCTCTAATGACGCCTTTAGTAAAATATATATATATATATATATATATATATATATATATATATATATATATATATATATATATATATATTATTTTCGTAGCATAGTGGAGGAAAGATAAAAGACACATAAGCTCTATTTTTTGTCAAGATCCAGTTCACATCTCCAAAAGAAGTACCTATTGAAAATTGACGTATTCAATCGAAAGAAATCAATAACGCGTGATATCTTAAAAATGAAAACTACATGTAAAGCAGTTCTTTTTAAAATTGTTTCCCATCTTCTCTTGATATTACTAAAGTGTATTAAGCTCAGTCACAATTGACCATCGTTTGATTCATGATTGTCCGCTTGTACTTACTTTCCATCGAGAAAGATGAGCTTCATATCGAGACTAGCCCTGAACATGAACATGTTGTTATAGAGTTTGACCTCGGTCAGTGAGCTTGGAGGTAGCGAATGTCCTATGGCCACCAGACCTACATTCTGATAACATCCGTCGTAGGGGGCGATGTCCATGGTATACTGCTTGATCTTCAAGTAACCATGGCAATGGATAACCTGATAGATGGAAGATTTGAGAAAACAAACATGAAAGGAATAATAAAAACGATAAGTAAGTTTTTTTGTAAACTAACGTTTACTGAACACAAATGCTGGAAAGTTAGAAAACACTTTCAACGAGGTCTACAAACTTTCAAAACATGCAAAGAGCAGAATATCTTATGACTTTCCCATAATTAAAAAAATAAAATGTACACGAGTATTTTTTTAGAATAAACTTGATAAATGAAAAGGTGAATTGTGAATAAATAAAGCTTTACTCAGGCGTAATGATACGATCTAATTATTAGTCTGGGCCTAATTTGGCTTCAAACACTGTTCTCACTGTTCTTAGAAGTTGTTTGCTACTTGATTCGATTGGGGTTTATGCAAGCTTTGAGTCTCAAGAAAAGAGGTTATAATCGTTTGTAAACTCCTCCAAGTCCCTTCCCCAATCTCCTCCTTTATTTCTCTCCACCCTCTCCCTCTCTGCATCTATCACACCACCGCTCTGTTTCTGCCACTGGCCCCTCCCGACACCCCACCATTTCGTCACCCTCCTTTTCCCTATCCTACCAGTTGTCCCCAGTTCTAATTATTCCCATGTTAATACCTCTCACACATCTGATATTAGCAACCTGGGTATCGTTTCACAAAACCGTCATAAGAACAAGTTCACCGACATCCCGTTGAAACACTTGTTAATTACAATTCATGCATTTCAATGGGATGTTGGTGAACTTGTTCTTACGACCATCTTGTGAAACGCTGCCATGAATGCTCTCGATCGTTTACAAAAAAATATGCACGTGGATGGCCAATTACAATCCATCCAATATGCTACGATTATATATATCCATGGTTCAATCTCCTACCTTGTAACCGCCCGATGTTAATCCAGCGTTTCGCTTGGCCAGCACGCACTTCATTCTCAAGAAAAACTGACGCTCTAGCTCATAATCTGGAAATAAAGTCGGCAGAGAAAGAAACGGACTAAGTGCATGCAATCTCTTTTTTACCCTTCCTTTTGGTAAAAAACTTGGATGGAAGATGTCAAACTAATGACTTGATGATCCCCCGTATTTGCAACTGATATTAAATGATCGCAGCATCATCGCAGGTCTTACAATCACATCTATTCTGACCCCTATTATGCTAGTAGTTGCAAATCTAAATCTTTTATAAAGATGGTTAAATTCTTCAGCATTTTTAAAACTCAACAGGAGAAGTACAATATTCAGAATAAACTTTTTATCTAATAATTTTGGAATATATCTAGAATAACGTTTATTATAGATATTTCTACAAAAATAACGACTGATGCATCATAATCTTAATTATAATCGTATTATTATTAACGTCAGCATTTTGTTTAAATTATCTTTACAAATATTGAAATCATATATCAAACGTGCTTTCCGCTTCTTTAACATAGATTTTGTTTTGAAACGAATATAGTTGACAAATATTAATATTTCTATTTTTTTGCACCGTAATACAACAGCTTAAAATATTATTTGTTATAAATGCTTAAGTTGTATACTTTGTCTATATATCTATACCGTTATTATCATTCAAGTATCTTTAAAAAGGACAATTTGATCAAAAATGTTATCAGAAGTATGTTTAATCAATATTATTAGTATAAACCATAATAGCAGAGATAATTATATACCTGTAAGTAGGTGTGTATGGTATGGTTGGTGAGCGGTGAGCAAAGCAGTCATTTCATCGTGATCAGCGGGATGAATGTATTCATAAATACTATTACCCGTCAGCTCCACCTGAAAGATACAACACACATCAAGACAAGTGATTAGAGGAACACGAGTACAAGGAGACGCGATGGCTCAGTGGTAGAGCAGTGGTCTCGTAAGCGGGATGTCCCGGGTTCGAAACCAAGTCGATGCGCTAGTGGCCTTTGGTAAGGCATTAATCCTCATAACCAAGTCCCTCGGAGAGGACTTAAAGCCGTCGTCCCCTGGTTACTTACTTACAAGCACATGCTTTCTAAGCAGTCAGGTAATACAAACCATCAAATCAAACCAAGACTTCTGTACATTGTACATTTGAAATGAAGTCATAACATATTCATCTTCTCCTCTCATCCCTTCTTTCAAACATATCAGAGCATGAGAGCCTTACTACTGCATTCACTTTATTAATGTATGTATACTTGATATTTTCACGTAACATAATCTTCTATGTTGTTTACCCCTTCGCGATTCCGGATTTGTAATGTTCAAGAGACAAGATGGGCCTCAAAAAAGTACAAAAGTGAGCGCACACTGGCTCTCGGCATACGTGTATTACTACCAAATAAGGAGGTATTCATGCATATATAACTTTTAGGAACTCTTTCAAGAAATTGCTATTTTGATCTTTCAACGATTTGTTTTTCTCCATTATTATGTAATGATATATTTAATTCTTTCTCGCCGTGTCTCTTATTATAATTTACTGTCCCCAGCTTGAACTATATTTTGTGAACTGCCTTTCATTCTCTTATTTGATTTTACCTCTATCCATCTGACTCATTTTCTTTGTTTCTTTTTCTTTTCTTACTTTTTTTTCTTCTTCTGGTATTCACGTCTCCGTCAACTTATTTCCAAGAATCCTCTAAACATAGCAAAACTAATAAGAGTAAACATATCTGTGGTAATGATACATCGAAATTACACCACAACAAATACAACAGCAAACAAACTTCTAGTTCGCTCGCCACGCAAAAATGCTCTTCAAAAACTAGATCATACAACCCCTTTACTCTATAAAGAACGGCTGCAACTGTTTCATGTTTGCCAAACTCATGGCGGAAGAAAAAGTTCAAGACCAAGGGGTCAAAAGCTCAAAAGTGCAACGCCAAAGTTACCAAGAAGAGATCCATTTTATCCACAGTCTGATTGTACTTTTAGTGAACTTTGACTTTGTCGGCCATTGTTACCCTTTGACGGAGGAGCTGGGTGAATGAAAAATGATGGAGAGAGGGTTTTTCTTGGCCCCGTTTTGTGCCTTGGAGCGGAATGCGGATTGGGGAACAATAGGGGTACAAAGGAGAGCAATCCATTACCATGTAACTTGTTGGATGTCTGACGTCCGCTTGATGGCAGATATGACATGGGAGGAGGTGGACGGGGAGCGAGGAAGGGGGGGGGGGGGGGGGGGTAGAAGAGGGGTACTGGAAGCATGAGAAATACTGGCGAAGGGACAGTAAAGCAAGAGAGAATCAAATTAATAAACAAGTTGAAAGTTGAATGTAGTAGAAGCAACCCCAACATACAAAAACAGAGAAGGGAATACAGAGAGTGCACAGAAGGAGATTACAGAAAGGACAACCTAAAAGTCACCAAAAGCAAAATGGAATGAAGTAATAATTGGGAATTCGACACAGAAAGTTTGAACAAAAGTTTGTACGAGATATGGAGAGGCAAGTAAAGAAATGAGATAAGTTGAAACTAAAGACAGCATGAGAGAAAACAAAAAGAAGAAGAGAGTGTTAGTATGGAAAGGGAACCTCAAGAGAAAGAGTGGTAGAGAGACGGAAAGAGATCGAGAGGTGGAGAAGGAAACCGGGGGGGGGGGGGGGGGTGGTGAGAGGGCGGAGTAAACATAGTAAAGAGAGATATAGCAAAGGTGGACGATGTCTTTGTCATGGTTGTACTTTTTTCGACTCAATTCTTCGCTCAGGGCGTCATGAGATTTGGACGAGGGTACTATGACAAAAAACTCTAAAGTTGGTGCGTAGTTCCACTGTTTTTGATACGTCTTTTCTACCCTCTCGATACTGCACTTTTCAGGGGAATACACTAACTGAAGTATAAAGTGCACCTGACCTGAACGGGTCCTGCGTGAAGACACTTGCCTCAAAAATTGAGTCGAGAGATGAAGAAGGAACATTTCTTTATGTACATGTAGTATCAATTTCAAATGGCCATGGTGTTAGCACTTTTTTTTCTGCTTTCAGGCCATGGTATAGACCAAGAAAAAGGAAAGAAAGAAATTAAAGAAAAATGTCCGGGTCGTGTATTGTGAGGGGCGGCATAAGAAATCGCCTAGCCCGGCAACAACAAATTTTGTGTAGAGTTATTGATTAAGCACAGCTAGTTTTAAACCACTGTTCTAAAACTATTCTGCTCATCATTAGCTTCTTTCAAATATTTTGTGAAATTTTAGTTTACAAATGTTAGCGTCACTTTGTAATTGTTTAAGCAGTCTGCTTACCTGTGATAAACCAAGATGGACGGATGCAGTTTCGGAGATGTAGATGATCTTTCCATCGGGAGCGACGACAAAGATAAAACCATCAAGGGTCTGTGATGGGCAAAGAAGAGAAATGTTCAGCTTGAAAAAGTGAGGGAAGGAAAATCCATAGAAAATATCTACCAATTTCTCACTAGATATGTCTTATATAATTGACATTTTACTAACGAGATGAGGTGAGATAACCATTGATATCAATATAAAATGCATTGAATAGCGTTTAATTCGTTTTTATTATTGACAACAACAATGAAAAGTTCGGGTTTTCAACAGACTAAATTGAAAACAAATCTCACCAAATAAAGCAGACACTACACTCGCATGGATATAAATCAATATTATCTCTCTTTAGACATCTATTTCATTTGGTACATGAACTAAATTACAGATGCCTTGTTGTAAATTATTATAGACCTACCTGCAAAAGATGTGCGCCTAGTTCCCTGGTCATGTGATCTAGAGTCGAGATGTTGCGGCTACCCCACGAATCACCAAGACCTACGTGAATCAAAGAAACAAAACATTGGAATGAAAGCTTATTAGTTTTCACATCAAAATGTAAGAACATAAGGAAGAGGATATCCAAATGAAAGTTATTTGTGTTATAGTAATACGTAATCATTAACAGTCTCACTGTAACAACGGCATCCGATGATGATAAACATAATCGGATCATTTACATATTTATCTACTGTCGTAATAATGCTTTAGCAAATAAACAATTCAAATTATTTAAATTCTCACGCAAAACATAATACAATACAATTGCAATGTTATTACAAAAAATATACGATGAACTTGAACAAGACAAATATAATAGTAACTAGCAGGACCCGCGGAAATCCGCGGGATCCTAGAGGGGGGCGGGGGGTGAGACTGTCTAAATTAAAACCACCAAGAACTTTATTTGCCATTCAGGCCATTAAGAAATATACATGTTAAGCGTCCCCGCCCGCTTCCTTTTTGGGGGCCGCCTCCTATTTTTTTTTTTGAAATTTTTTATTTATTTATTTTTTTTTGAAAGAAAAAAAACATGAAAAGCACTGCTAAAATGTATTTCTGATTTTAAAAAAGAAAAAAAAAATTGTCGGCCGCCATCTTGAAAAATAGCCTGAATGTCAGGAAAAATGTACGGAGCGGCCATTTTGAAAGAAAATAAAAAGAAAAAAAAAGGGCCTCCTCCTTCCCATTTTTCGAAAAAACAGGAAGCTAAACATGTTTTTTTTTTAATTCGGCCTTATATAAAAATTTAAAAAAAACGATCCAACTGTACCGGTAGTTATTCTTTAAGCCACTGGAACTGCGTAGAGTTCCGTAGTGTGGCGTACCGACTACGCAGAAATTAGGCTGCGTATTAATGGGGAAATAGTTTATGCGTAGGCTGGCGAAAAAAATTAAACAGGTTTAATTGTTTTCGTTCATCTTGCGTACCCCTTTCCGTCCCTCAGCATATAGTAACGTAGGCCAGCGTAGTTGTTACGCAACACTACGCAACTCTACGTATTGACCCGCCAATTAGTGACCCGCAAGTGTCACAAATAAAGTATTAAAAATATGCTCATCTGACCCTATACGCCTAAAACCCCCGAGCTTTCGGGGGTTTATGGCCCCTTGAAACCCGTGGACCCCACGCCTATATTATATATACACTCAACTCGCTGCGATCTGATCTCTCCCCCCCCCCCAACGTTGAAAAACGTAACCCCCGAGCTTTTGGGGGTTTATGGCCCCTTGAAACCCGTGGACCCCACGCCTATATTATATATACACTCAACTCAGGACCCGCTGAAATCCACGGGTTTCTTGAGGGGGTGCGCAGGCAAAAAATTAAGTTTTTCATTTCGGGGGCTCCATTTCAAATTTTAGGGAAATTTTCGGGGGCTCTTTTTTCTGGGGCTACTTTTTCATTAATTCATATAAGGATAGGCCTACACTTTGTTGAGATTTGTTTAGTAGGCTATTAGGTTTCAGGCTTCCTACTTCATAATTGCCTATTTAAAAAAAAAAAAACATTTTTCTAGTTCAATAACTAAGTTTTCATGCATTGATTTGATGCAAGAACTGTAACATAATAGACCCTAGATTGTGATTATTTCTGACCATGAATTTCGATAATCATTTTTCAAAGTAAAATTTTCACAGGAAAATCAAACAGTCTTTTAAAAACGTAGACATTAGAGTCTAGTAATACTTTTACTAATTCTAAGCTCAGGTTTCGTAAATCTATTCACGAAACTATATTGAAATCGCGGCAATAATGATGCAAACCAACAGATAACAATTTCAAAGTGTCAAATCTGTTCGACTCGAATTCAACTCACACACTTTCAACTGCAACTCAGCTCATCTCACACACACTACACAGTGGCAATGCACTGTATTGTATCATTCGTGTCAGTTACGGTGATTTTGTCTGATTTTCTTTACTTTGAAGAAATGATTATCAAAATTACGTAAACATGGCGAGAACATCACAAAATAGGCTTTAATTTCATACCTCTATTTATGGAAACTTTATAATATTGCAGCAATCGTGAATTCGTGATGGAAATTGATTGCAGTTTCGCGATGTTTAGTGGTTCATGGTCTAGATTCAGCTTCTACCGAAACAAAATCGACCGCCAAAAACTCGAGCCCTACGCTCCGTCTCGATCTCGCAACTGCGAAAATGTACGTGTTTTGGCGTACTTGCGTGCGACATGGTAAGCCAGGTAAGGTATGGAACATGGTTCGAGTTTTTTTTACGACCGATTTTTGTGTATACAATTTTATACGGATAGTCATCGGTCGTGTGTCTACGGATGTCATGTTGAATATCCATGAGGTATCTCTGTCGTCACGCATATCCTGCATTATGCATGTCGCGTCTGTTTTCGCCCTGGACGTCGACACGGAGGAGGACCTCGGGCGGAGTATAGCCAATTCGCTAGAGTAGACTCTCCCGCGGACGACGGCACCGGTCACCGGTACCCCGAGGGGAGGGTTCAGGAGGAGATAGCCGCACCAACTTGGGTCGGCGATCTCATTAAAAAACAATAGAATACAAAGGCCGGCGGAGACGTCGCGCCCCCCGCGGAGCCTTAGCGTATTACTATTATAGATGGCGCGAGAAAAGATGAACTAAATAGCAGTAGAGCTTGTTGAATTATTAGTTCATCAGAGGATGTTTTAGTCAATAAACAACACACGCACCACAGAGGATTAGTGATGAGGATGCAAGATATCATCAACATACAACCATTTTATTATTTCTTATTAAAAGAAAGTCACTTTCTCTCATTAGTCGACAAAGTCGTGCCATTCGCCAACCATGCTAAATTTCGCGATGCAACACGAGGGGATATACACCCCGAGCTCCAGAGCAACGGGTCGTATATCAGGGAAGTAGATAGTCCTCGCTGTCAGTGAAAATGATTTGTACTGATTCTGGAGTACGGGAACTAATAATACGAAAAGACAGTTCTAAAGATGGAAACAAAAATCGGATTAGTCTACCTTCTTCAGATTCATTACAGCAGTTTCCTTCAAATTCAGATAAACATATTCCATTCGCAAGAAGCATTGAATCACCGCAAACGGAATATACGCGGCTTCCCGGGTGTAATAGCAAGTGGCATTCCACCATATATATTTTTTTAAATAGACAATCCACCTTTTATACAAGAAGATTTGAATGTTTACAAAGTGCCAAAGTGAATAAAATATGTTCCTAACAGTCCTTCACCACACAAAATTTGAATAAGACATCGACAAAATATATCGAGAGAATTCCACAAGCAACAGCAAGGAATATGACTTGTAAGCGAAAATAGTGACGTAACAACAAAACTAAAACTGCGCGCCTATGATGACGAAACAATCGAACGCGTTTTTAACCTTACTGTTTGTTGGTTACTATGATATAAAATCATTAAAGAAACGCACGTGTCATTAGGTATAGTATCAGAATATGGAAAGGATATGTTTGTTTGACCAAGAACCAATCTTTATTGGATTTATAATCTGAACAGAGGGAAGAATTGGCAATATGGTAAGCAAAGTATTTATTGTGTTCCTCTCATTACATAGTTTTGGGTCTGACATAAGCTAAACTGCCATGGGTTACCCCAACGTTAAGGTAGGAAAAAAGCTGGCAGGCCCTTCCTTTAAATCAAAGAAGTGGTAAATATCATTCAAAGGAATACAAATCAATGTAGTATACTGTATGAAATCAAATAAAACCAAATTAAATTAATTGACGCCCCCCCCCCCTAAAAAAAAAGCTTTTGTTCAAAATGTTATGAAATTAAAGGGGCAAGCGAGTAAATTTAAAAGTCACATGGGATCGTCTGTCTTCATAAGAAAACAAAACAAAAAATCAAAGTGGGTGATACGTTGGTCCATCTTGAAATTTAATTCTTGGTTTATATTTCCTTGTTCTCACGCATACACGAAGTTTACACACAAATCGCGAAATGTGCTGCTTTGAAAGCAGAAAAGATGGACATTTATAGCGTATGGCAGTGAAGATATTATATTTTGTCTAAAGGATTCCATACAATCTAGTCAACTCGTCAGGAGCGAGATTCATTGAATGGAATCGATCCGCCCATCGCTAAAAACGTCCCTCTCAAACCCCCCTAGGGCATCGGAAGTTAAACAAGCTTGCGAAGGAAAACGTTTACTCAGATTTGTCATTCATAAAGTCGGCTTTTTAAAGAATGTATTGCTGCGATCGTATTACATTATACCAGGCTCTTCTAGCAAGGCGATGTTAATGAAATCTTGTCGAGATACACTCGCAGATATTACCCTTTCTATTTCAAAATCAGGACTCTGCTCTAGAAATTAAAAAAAAAATGGAAGAGAAGGCGAAGGAGGATGACGGAGATGTCTTTATTTGATATTCATTTAAACCGAGCTCAAATCAATGACAGTATGTCACTAAGTTTCAGCGCATATGCATATGGTTAAATGCGAATGGAGAAAGGGAGAAAACAATACACATCCCATCTCTTTTTTCCTACCAATGATGGGTCCTCTCAAGTCCAAGTTTACTCGGGCCGCGTGCGCCTTCTTCGAAGCTAGGTCTATTGATTTCGCACGGGAATAGAGTGGGGGAAACTGACAAGGGAAATGCACGTCAAGGCTCGCAGTGCCTTGGACAAACTGAATCGGAGAAAAGAGTTGTAAACTATTCATTTCTGTGCAAATTTTATCGGCTGCCATGATATTGTTAGGAACGCTCAGTGAGAAGGAAAGGACGGGGCACGTTAGTCAAACACACGCCTATCGCTCCGTACGGATGCGTAATAAAATTCTCGGCCGAGAAATAGCGAGGAAGGGGTACGTCACATCAGCCTAATAACGCCAATCCTGGCTCACTCATTTGACTTTTAAGTAGCTTCTTCGAGAATTACTCCCCAATAATGACTTAAAAGCTCATCTGTTTTCTTACGGATGTGATATTGACCCAAAGAAAAGCTCTTGAAAGTTAAAATCTCTGACTGGTATGTCTTATTC